GTCTCTCATGGTTCGTCTACCCCTCCGATTTCCCCCGCTTCATTCTTCCCCTCCCGCTACCTTCTTCTTCTTCTTTGAAACTTCCTTCTAGAAAGGAATAAACTTGACAGTTCTATTAAGCCTTTCATGAGCTCACCGTGAAACTGATATATTTTAGTACCATCGCCCAACTGCTCTACACTGTCTTCAATTCTTTTTCTAAATAATTGAGCACTATTAAGAAAAATAATATAACCAGTAGAATTTCGTGAGGACTTCTAGGGGACACTATGCTAAGTGTTGTAGTTACACATTGTGTTTGTTGAAAACAAATGCAATCTAGCACAAATCAGGCATATAAATTAGAGTGGGTGCTAGCAAAGGGCATGGCCATCTGGAAGGGGTGTCCATCTGTGAGCTTGGATTTGAAGGAGGGGAGGCTGTGCCATACACTGAGGACTGACCTGTGGTAACCACCACTGTTGGGGTACTGCAGCTGGGTAGACCTTAGGCTATGGGGTCTGTCTTTTCTAAGCCTTGGTTTCCCTACCCATAGAATGGGGGTCTGATTTTCCCCACCCCACAGAGTTGTTTAAATTAGATAACGTACCTAAACTGCTTTGCTCAGTGTGTGGCACTCAGCAAAGATTAGCTATCGTTACATTATTACTTCTCCAGAAGGGCCTCTGCATGCTACCTAGAAAATGTCTCTGCCTTTCTTTTTTTTTTTTTTTTTTTAGATTTTTTATTTATTTATTTGATAGAGTGAGGGAGCACAAGCAGGGGGAACAGTAGAGGGAGAGGGAGAAGCAGGCTCCCCGCCAAGCAGGGAGCCCGATGCGGGGCTCGATCCCAGGACCCTGGGATCATGACCTGAGCCGAAGGCAGACGCTTAACCATCTGAGCCACCCAGGCGCCCCCGTCTCTGCCTTTCTTAAGGGTAGATCTTCTGGCTTGTTTCCCTGTTCTTTTGATGCCAGTTAGCTTTTTGACCAACACAGCACTGAAGTCACCCATCACCCTGGTAATTGCCATGTGGATCCCCCAAAGCTCCCCTCACCCATAGGCCTTCCCCCCTCCCCCATCCCTGTCACCATCTAACTGGAGGTCCCACCTTGTCTGGCGACGATGAGGCTGGCCATGCAATCGGGCACACTGGTTCCAGCTGCCAGGAAGGTAATCCCCATGATGACATCAGGAATCCCCAGTGTGTATCCAATGATTGTGACCTGGAAGAAGCAGGAAGAGGTGGTGAGTTGGGGGCTGATGCCAACCCGACACATCAGTGGATCCTCTGCCCAAGAAGCACAAAAGGCTACAATCTGGGCGGTCTGCTCAGGGGGCAATGTCTGCTCTCGTTGTCAATGTAGAGGGCAAAGAACATCTCGCAGAGCAGACCAGGACTGCAGGTCTGGGGACCAGGGTGCAATTATGGAGTCCATGTTTTCCAACCAAAGATTGGCATTTTATACATGTTCCTTTCAGGTGAGGCAGGAGGACTGAGAGAGGAGAAACAGTTTCTGGGAAAAGGTGATTTTGGGACAGAATATTTGAACTTAGGATGGTCCCGGGAAATACAGAATGGAAAAGTAGGGTCATAAATGGGCAATGCATTCTGGATGATTGTGTTTCCTAAAATGGCTTTTGGGCAGAGGCTCTTTTGAGCCATAAGCCCACAACCAATGCCAGTCCTTGAATCCTTGTTTTAGCTTCAGAAAGGACCCTTGAGTGGTCACCTGGTCCAATGACCTTATTTTCTGGTTGACAAAACTGTGACTCAGTTAGAGGAAGTGACAATGACAGCTAGGATTATTACTCCCCAATTCCTCCCATTTTTCCTTCATGCTCTTTGCCCTGTGGCTTTGCCACGCTAGAGCAGGTGGGGTATATTTCCCCCACTCCATTGATATTGGGCAGAGTCACAGGCCAAGGCCCTAGGAGGCACAGCATGTTTCCACTGGCCTTCTATTATTCCAACAATCTGCCATGAGAAGAGCATTCCCCAGGTAGCCACGGGTCCAAGGAAAATGAGCAAACATAAGGGGTAGGCATGAAACCCATCTGCTGCCTGAATCACACATAACCATGCTGTGGCTTGAAGCAGAACCGCTCAGTCAGTGCCAGCTAAGATTAGTCAAACCATGCTCAACCTGCAGATATGTGAGCAAGAGGGAACTTCTTGTGATTCTAAACCACTGAGTTTAGGGGTGGTTTGTTATGCAGCTTATTGAGGCATTTGCTGACTGATACAGTTACTGGGCTGAAACCCCACTTCCTATTCCCCTCTGACTGAGCATATTTTTCTCTCTAAAGAGGTCTAGCAATGCTGTGGGGTCCTCCGTACACTCACCATCCACACCATCATGTAGGAGAAGGCTGCTATCCACAATGTGGAAGAAGCAAATGTCACCATAAACCATTTTTCCCAGCGGGGTTTGTTGCAGTTGGGTACAGTGAAGTATAAAACAAAACTCAGTGGCCAGGTGAACGCCCACTTCACTGTTTCCAGTTTTCCAGCTGGGAAAAGAAAAAAAGACAAAAACAAAAATTAGTTTCATTTCTCTGTTTTACCAGCCCTCCATGCTACTTGCCTCAGACATTTACATCCTAATTGATGACCTGTGAAATCAGCCTTATTATGTTGTTCTTTTCATAAAAAACACAAACAGCTTTCCACCACCAACAAAACCTGGCGTACAAAACCAAGCAGAATAAAAACAGTTATCCACCGCTCACCTGCTAGTTAGGCACCCAAATGACAGATGAGGCCCTTCTGAGGATACATGCCATGTGATTTTCTTTATTTGAAGGTGGTTAACAGGAAAAACTAATCTATGGTGGTAGAGGGTGGAAGGTTGACTAGAAAGAGGCTCGAGGAACTTTCTGGAAGGCAGAGATGTTCTTTATTGAAGCAGAGAGTGTATACGATACATATTTCTTACCAGAGGTGTTAGCAATTAAGCAGGATGGTAATAAAGGCTAAAGGAGAATTGATAGGTTTGTCAAATCTGAGGTTACAAGGAACTCATGGCAACAAAGTCACCAAAATAAGCATTTATGGATATCTCTGAAACATGGCCCTCAGGCAACACAGAGATGATAGGATCAGGTCATCACTAGCCAGTCCATCACCTCGTCCGTGGCAGCAGGTATTTAGAGAGCCAGAAATCAATGACTAATTTGCAAGTTCACATCAGCTTGAGATACAAACCCCACCTTGAGAGCTTTCAAATCATCTTTCAGGATTTCGTGAGTTGACAATGTTGAGCAATTCCACTAGATGGCGCTGTGACCACTGACACCTTATAATCCGGCAAGATTTTATCTACCCATGGGGAGAACAGACCCCAGGCCAACTGGTGGTCTTCCAGCTCCCCTCCCCGACCTTCACCTGCACCCCCCCACACACTCCCCACCCTTTGTGTCTGAGAATCTTCCTCATCCTGTCCCACCTGGCCCCATGCACCAACCAGCCTCCCAGCCCTGTATCCTCAGAAGTGCCTCATCTGTCATTTGGGTGCCTAACTAGCAGGTGAGCGGTGGATAACTTTTTATTCTGCTTGGTTTTGTACACCAGGTTTTGTTGCTGGTGGAAAGCTGTTTGAGTTGTTGCCAGTTTTCAGGTATTACAACTAAAGGGGCTATGAGCATTCTTGTACACTCAAAAAACATGTTGACTAAAGGAACATAATTGACTAAAATCACATGCCATTCGTGTCTTTTAGTCAATTACGTTCCTTTAGTGAACATGTTTTTTGAGATCCATTCGTGTGTCAGGAATTCATTCTTAATTGCTGTGTAGTTTTCCATCCTACGAATACACAATTTATCCATTCTCCTGTGGACGGGAATTTGAGTTGTTGCCAATTTTCAGGTATTACAACTAAAGGGGCTATGAGCATTCTTGTACACTTTGTTTTGTGGGCATGTTTTTTTTTTCTCTTGGGCGAAGACCCAGGAGTAGAATTGCTGAGTCACAGGGTGGGTGTTTATTTAACTTTGCAAGAAACTGTCGAGCAGTTTTCCAAAATGATCATCCCATTCTATATTCCCACCAGAGTGAAGGAGGTATTTTTTAAATTACACTTTGAACTGTGATTAATAAAATGTTAAATGAAATTTATTTCATAATTTTATGCCAGTATCTAGCACTTTTCCAATTAGCTGCTATGCAGATATGGAGCTGGGAACAGATGATGACAACATTGAGACTGTTTGGCTGGATTTCAAAGCAAGAAAGCTGTCAGAGGTTTTTCATGAGGGGCTTCCAGATGCTGTGGACTCCAGCGTATCGTCAGACCCTTGGATCCCAAAGGCATCCTGGAATTCTTCGTGCTCCTAAATCCTGTAATGTGGTGATGTCATTTATCCACCTGGGGCTCTGGGGACCCCCTCACTGGCCTTGCAGTCTTCCTGATGCCCTCACACAGAGAGACTGGTCCAGCTTCAAAACACACACCCAGTCAAAGTTACAAAGACACAAATGGGAAGAGAAATGACTGCAATCTGGCTTTTTGTAATTCCTCAGAAAATTAAAAAAAAAATGAAATCGGAACTTGAGACTGTGGCAGCTTAGAAAATAATACTGAGTACAAAGGTAATGCAAGCAGTACATTTGGCACAAGTGAATTTTGAGTTTTTTCTCGGCTGCTTTAGAAAATTCTGACTTGACCCTGAGGGACCTTATATCTAGAAAACAGTTCTCTCCATTTCATGATATAGATGCTTTCTCTAAGTTACAGCTCCACTGTAACAACAAACTTACAGTAGAAATTTAATCGGTATCATCTGGAAGGTAACTTTAAATGTAATGTAACAAATATAACTCCTTGAGCAAACCAAGCGATACAGAAACGTGCTTTTATTTAAGTGATTTTGAGGAGCAGGGGTTAGATAAGGAACATACTTATGTTTTGGTGTGTTCTTTTCAGTCTTTTTTCCCCTGAAAGTGTGTTTACCTACATCCCCATGTAAATGTTTCTATTTCTGTTAGTCAACAGTAAGGCTTTCTTCATACAGGGCTAAGAATATATGTACAACTTATACTATGCATAGGTGCATATAATTTACATATATACTATGTAGATTTAGCCTCTACATATATTATATGCACATGGAAACACAGGGATGTTAATATATGTGCACATTCTAGCTGCCTTAAATTTCAGTTTCTGAATAAAGGGGTAAAATGGTTTCCTTTCCTCTTTGAGTCAACAGTATTTCTGGACATTTTCCCATCTTTTCTTCCATTGCTAGTTGTCCAAACAGAGCCCCCCTCTGGCCCCCCAGGGGATAGGTTTAATCCTTCATTTAACAAATATTCATTGAAGGTCCTCCCCCCCGACCCCGCCAGTCTGTGCCAGGTCCTGCTCTGGGTACTGAGGACAGAGCAGTGAGCTGAGAAAACCGAACTCCCTGTGCATGAACCTGATGTACCCGTGATTATGTGATTTCCTGGAAGGCAGCCAGCAGCTGGGACATGCAGTGGGGACTCTGAGCGTTACAGTACAGTACCCCTTTGAGTGTGCCTTGGCTCTGAAAAGCAAAGGACCTGTTCTTAAGTTGTACTCCTTACTGAATTTTTAAAGAAGCTTACTTTTATTGAGAAGAAAAGATTATTGCTCATTCTTATGGACCTAGAGTTAAATATATCAATTTGTTCTAACTATATAGGCAATAAAAATGTAGTGTTTTAGAATGAAAAATGTAGAAAAAATAAAAAAGAAGTCCATCTAGGAGAAACACACTCATATTTTGGTATACTTCTTTTCAGTCTTTTTCTGTGGAAGTATGTTTGCCTATGTACACATGCAAACATTTCTTCCTTTTCTTTTTTTTTTTTTAGAGGGAGAGAGAAAGAGTTCAAGCAGGGGGAAGGGAGATGGAGAGAGGGAGGGGGAGAGAGAGAGAATCTTATCCATGCCCAGCATGGAGCCTGATGCAGGGCTCGATCTCACGACCCTGAGATCATGACCTGAGTCGAAATCAAGAGTTGGACGCTTAACTGACTGAGCCACCCAGGCGTGCCCACATGTAAACATTTCTATTTCTGTCAGTCAATAGTAAGGCTTTCTTCATGCAAGAGATAAGAATACATGTGCAATTTATATGTATATATATGTGCATACACACATACTATGCACAGGTGTATATTCAAATATATATTATATGAATTTTACCCCATACGTACATTATATGCACATATAAAAACACAGATATGTTAATATCTGTGCATAAACCATAAAAGGATACAACTCAATATAAAAATGTATACACTGTATGAATAAACATGTTAATGTAAAGATGATAACCATACACGTGCACACTGCATATATGCACACACTTTTATTCATATATGTACATGCATGTGCACATAGATGCATGCACAATATATGTGTATACACATACATACATCCTATAAATGCCTATATTTACATACTTCCACATAATTACTTATTCGTTACTTATACTCACTATAGTCAAGTCCTGGAGAGAAGAGAGCCCTACAGCTAAGTGACAGAAATACAGAGAGCCATGGCCCTGCAAGGTTACCACGAGAGGGAAAAATGTCCTCATCATGTGCGCAAAGCTTTTTCAGGCCAAAGGAACTTAGTGCAGAGGAACCGGATGTGGGGCTCCCACTGGGACTGGGTCCTTCCCGCTCCTTGAGTGGCCTCTGCTGGCTGGCTCAGTGCTGTGAGGGGTCTGCCTGCCCTAGGGGGTGCTTGTTGGACACACAGCCCGCGAGCCTCAGATGGAAGTTCCTGAGTCCCAGAATGGGGTTTGGCTTTGGTGGTGGGAGGGAACAGAGGATCATAACTGGACAAACCCGCTCTCCAGTTCAGAGGCAGCACCTGGCTCCGAATGAGGCTCCCCTAAGGCTCAGGAGAACGGTGAAGATCACTGGTGTGACTCCAGGGTGCTACACCCCCACTGCCTCAGGTGTGGCCCGCCAACAACCAGCACCAGTGTCACCTGGGGGCTTGTGATACATGCAGAATCTGGGGCGCCCCACCAGACTTCCTGAATCAGAGCCTGCATTTTATCAAGGATGCCCAGGTGACAGGGCTGGTCTAGAAGAACTTGGGGTTCCACCGCCTTTCTCGGCAGCTCGGGGCGCTGGAATGAAGCAGAGACCCCCAGGACTGGCAGGACCACGCAGAGCATCCTTTCTCCTCTCGTGCCTGACACTCCAAAGGAGGCAGGGTGCCTGGGCGGGGGTTTCTGAGCCCACACCTGCAGCCATATCTCTTAGCACACAAGGAGACAAGATGATGCGGCTGGGAGCCCCGGGGCCGCCTCATCTGCAGCTAACCACAGAGTTGTGGAGGGGAGGTGAGCAACAGTTACAAGATAGCTTGAAACTTCACAGTTAGGTCTGGCGTTTATCCCATTCAGGTGAGAAAAAGGAAGTGACCTGAAAGGGGCCCCTTTGTCCCACTAAGTAATGAGATCTGGTGGGAGTCAGAGGAGTTGTCTGGTGTCACACACACGTCTTTGGTCGTCTGCCTGGAGGGGTGTACATGGGGCTTCGGGGCTTCTGGGAGGCCAACACTTGCCCCTTACAGACTCTTCACCTGGTCCGAGAGTTTCTTTCATCAGTGAAGGACTTTAGCAAAATAGGCGTTTTTGGAGCTTGGTTATGGGCTGCCAGTGGTGAGCTCTGAAAGCAAAGGCCAGCCTAGGCAGAATTTTAGATGTGGGCCCCCAAGAGTCTGTGCCCGATTCTCAGAACCTGTGAAGAGGAGGCTGAGCTACCGTTCCACGACTGCTCTGCTGTGTGGCACAACAGACCTCCTCATGGGGAGGTTACGCACTCAGAAGCACAAGTGGAAACCCAAGAGACCAGAAGTGTGAGAAGGACCCAAAGCACCATTGCTGATTGAAGAATGCAGGCCTCCAGGAGCAGTGAGCAGCCCCCCGCTGACAGGCAGCAAGGAAACAGGACTGAGCCGTCCAACCACAGGGAACTGGATTTTGCCAATAATCTGCAAGTGTTTGGTAGTGATTCTCCCGAGGGCCTCTGGGAAGGTCTACAGCCCTGTCTACACTCTCATATGGTCTTTGGAGCCTCTGAAACCCAGCCAGGCTGTGCTGGACTTCTGACCTACAGAACTGGGGGCTAATCAACGGGTGTTGTTTTAATCCGCTCAATTTGCAGTAATTTGTTCTACAGCAGTAGAAAATGAACACAAAAGTTCGTAAGGGGGATACAGAGAGCCTGGTTGCTTAATCCTGAAATGTTTTTGTCTTGTTGATAGGGAAGAAGGTTGCCAAGAAATAGAGTCAAAGATGGCAAAATGGATAAAGAGCCAGCATGCTTTTTTTCTATCCAGATAAGCTTCTAACAAGTAATGATTTAACTCTGGCTGGGTGGTTTGGGACTTTGGGGTATAGGATCTGAGTGGATATTCTCTAGTTAGTTTTGGGAAGCACTTGATGAGGTTGAGATCTGAGGGGCCCTGAGGGGACACAGGAGCAGTTCTGATCCTAGTTTTACTTTGCTATCCCCTGGAACACAGAAAGGCCTTACATCTGAAATTAACACAGAACTCTGGCACTCCACACCCACATCCTATCATTAAATGACCTTTCAAGTGGGTCAAGTAATACTTCCCCAGAACTCACAGGTCTCCTGTAATTTTAAACATCCTTGAGAAGTCACACACTTATTAATTAAGCCTCTCACACTTGACCAGGGTGCTTTCCTAAAGCAGCCGGAAACTTCTGGAAGGTCTAGCAAATAGGCAGAAGTCTTTGGACTTGGTCTACCCATTCCACTAATGGGTGGGGTCAGGGGACAAGGTCTCTGCAATGGCCAAGTCATTGTTGGGTAGCAGTCAGGGGAGGACGCTGCTTTGGTGGCTGGGGTCCTGAAAACTATACATGCCTGTGCTTCCCCTTCAAGATACCAGGGAGATGGCCTTGGCCAGCCTCACTGTGTGAGACTTAGCTGGGGCCAGGATGCTTTTTGCCCAGGTCTATCTCCTGTGGTGTCTGTCCTGGAAACAAGCAGGTTATAGGAGAGGAGAAAACTGAATGGGGTGTGGGGGGTAAAGGGCAAGAAGTGAGCAGGAAAACAAAGGCCAACTGGGAAGTCTGCATGTTTCCCCCTAGGGTGGCCTTGGCAGGACAGCTCCTCTGGCCAAATGTAATGGGATGGGTGAAGATGGGTGAAGTGTCTCTTCCCTTGAGCACCAAGCTGCCTTCCCAACATGCGTCAAGTGCATTTCCTCCTTAGCACCAAAAGGTCCCACAGAACAGCTAAGCTAAGCTAAGGGTCTTCCTTCACAAAGTGCCAACAAATTATACATTTGGTCAAAGAACCCACATTTCAACCAGTGATCATGTGTTCCCATCTTGTTCATCTCTGGACCCTCTAAAACAGAGTCTTGCCCACTGTAGAAGTTAATATAAATACTTCTATGTTCATATAGAGATAGTTCTTTGAATTGAATGTCAAAAAGATCACCAAAGTCAAGGGCATCTACTCAGTGGCCTCAAAATAGCTCCCAACCCCAGTCTAGACATAGGACCTCTTACAGGGGAGGTCGAATGGCGTGTACGGTCCTTCGTCATCATCCTCATCCTCCTCTTCCTCTTCGTCATTCTCGTTGTTCTCATTGTCCTCATTCTCATTCTCTGTCTCGTTACCAGCCTCGGCCACAACATCATCCCTCCGAGTCCCATTCACGCCTCTGTCTGGGGCACTGCTGGGCCCTGTCCCGTTCTCCACGGTGTGCTTAATTGGGATTTTGATGGCCACCTCGGATTCTCCATTGGCATAGGCCCTACTGTTTATCAGTCTTTGTCTCTGGAAAGAGAAAGGCACATTCTTACCACAGTCAGGGGGACTCTAGATCCTTACACCCAGAACACCGGGATCTTTTTCAGGCAGCTGACAAAAATGATTCTTCCAGGAGATTCTGCAGAGAAGTCTTAAGGGATTCCTCAAAGTAATAAGCAACTCAGACAACATCCTTCCGGGAGGAAGGATTAACCTTTTATGACCCACTGGAGCTTGCAAATCCCTTTAGAGGAAACTTCCTATGTCTCAGAGGCACCCTTCTTTTCTACCAGTGTTTTTGATTCCCTGTGCACTGCAGTATTATCTTTCTTCTCCAGACTGTAGGAATCCCTTGGACCATAGGTGAGAAAGCCACACAAATGTGTCTGGACTAGTGTATCAATAAGGCTGCCACTCCAGAAAAAGGGATACACAGGAAAATTCACGTCAGAGACTGCATTACTTTAAAGGTAAGGCAACCTTGATTTAGCAAGTACTTCTGTGCAAGTTCACATCAGAGGGCTTCACCCAAATGGAAGATGAGAAGAAAAAGGTAGGTAGAAGGGGACAGGAGAGTTTTTCTATATAACTGGGAGCCTGATCATGTCTTCCAACACATGGAGGGAAGAGCAAGAACCAGGATGCACAGCTGGCCCCATGAACAAAGATGCTGGGAAATAGCTGAGGGATATTATTGTGTTACATGTTGAGCTTGGTATTTCTATTCTCAGACCAAGAAACTTTCTCCCCTTCCCAAAGTCTCCCATCACTGTCCAGTGGCAATGGAGTGTGCTTTCCCAGATACCTCATTGATCAACATGCGACTGGCCATGGAGAGTCGGGTCTTGGGGGGAAAGTGGCTGGTGATCATGATTCGAAGTCCAGCCTCAGAGAAAGAAAGCTGGTGAGGGTAGGCTGACAGCAGCTCGTCTACCATAATCACTGACGCTTTGCGGTGGAAATTGGCTAGGGAAATAAAAAACACAAAATAAGGATAACATTGAGGTTAGGAGCAGAAAAGAGATATTTATTTAGTCTTCTCTCCATTCCTCCCTCACCTCTCTCTCCCACTTTCCTGTTTACTCATTTATCCATCCATCCATCCATCCATCCATCCACCCACCCACCCACCCACCCAAGGAGGGTTGTAGTGCACAAAATATGGAGAAGAGTCAAACTCTTCTTTCCATGAAGCTCATTGATAGCTCTTTTGAAATGACTTGAAACAATATAAGCATCATTCACTGGCATGGTAAGAAAGAGTGATAACCTAAGAGAATTCCTCTGTGTCCTCAAAGGTTTTTTTTTCCCACCACTCAGACCTGGGGCACAGGAAAAACCCCAATAATTTTAGTAACCCTTTATGCCTTTCAAATGTCAACAACGTTCAAAGTTCTGAGCTGTTAAAAGCTGCAGAAATGACTTTAGTGCCAAGTGGAGGGCTTAGTGGGGAAAAGCGCACATTGCTGCAGCCCAGCCTATGAGTAAGGCTGACAAAGGGGCAGGTAGGTGAACTGGCCACATGACAGAGGCCCAAGGTCCAGAGTGGCCCAAATTATTACACAACATTTGCTGGAAGGCCTGATAAATAAGGTCTAAGGCCCCTCTCTACAAAAATGTGATATGAGCACACAGCTCACAGGTACCTGGCCACACGCTCTCCTGGTGGTCACCCCTGTTTTCCAAGCCACTAAACCATGAAATGATCTCTGGAAACACTGAGTAATATGAGGTAGCTCTTTTTGGTTCCCTAAGAGTATTCCTTTTATGGTTATAAACTATCCAAAAGAGAAGAGATTCAAGGAAATCCTTATATGGGATGGCACTGAATACTCAAGTCTTTTGTTAAACATACTTAGAAAAATGTATCAAATAATCGATTTTCACATTCTAATAATTACCTCAGATTTCAAACTCAGATTTGAATAACCTATAGATTTTCAAATTTCTTTTGTGTTTTTCCTGCAAAGCAACCATATGAGACCAAGAAGAAATAAACCCAGACATTTTTAGAGAAGGTTAAAAGCAACTGAAAAACCAAACACATTCTAAGGCAAAGTAAATGATAATTTTCTGTGTTCCTCTGAGAAAGAATATTCTTTGTTAGGGAGCACTATCTTAGTTCTCTTAGTGTATCAACTGCTTAATGAGAATCTATTGAATATAAGAACTACTTTGAAAAAAAAAGGGAGGTGGTAATTATCTATGTTATTCTGCAGCTTGGAAACGGAGGTAATGTAGCCTGAAAATGAATGTGGATATAATAATATACTAACAGCAACCATCATTAATGGGGTATTTTACATACTTTATCTCCTTTACTCATTACAATAATTATCCCCATTTTGCAGAAGAGAAAATTGAGCTCACAGAGGTTCCATTAATTTGCTTCATGGTAACACAGCCAAAATATGGCAGAGTCAATACCTCAAGACCCCTGCTCTTGTCTCCTTTAACATCCTGTCCTAAATCCCCCATGTCACTGCCAGCAAACGTTTTGCCGAGAACTTCCACGAAGCTTTCCCAGGTGGCTCATCACCAGGTATGACTGCCCCAGGATGTAGCCAAAGGGAGGCAGGGAGGCCTGGAGGCTTCTCTCCCTTGGTCTCCTCTGGTGCAGGCAACCTCCCGCCAGGCCAGCCGCGGCACCCCAGGGGTGGCCTGGACGGTGGGCAGCCAGGCAGCCTCCCAGTGCTCCCTCCGAGGACCCAGGTTGTCCATAGGTACCTTTCTTGAGTAGCACCACAGTTGCGTCGCAGTTGCTGCTGTCGTCAATTTCAGCATTGTTGGCCAAGCCGTTGACCATGTTTCCAGCACCTTTTGTCCTCCTTTCGAAGCACTGATGGATGCAAGCGTTATATCTGAACAAAGTAACAAGCAGAAGGAGCCCATCAGCTGTGTGTGCCCTGCAGCTCTCAGTCTAGGTGCATTGTGAGGGACCCCGTGCCTCAAGTTATCATTATTATTATTCTGTCTTCCATGTCCCCATAGAAAAATGCAATCTGTCCTCTTTTCCGATTTCAGGATATATGGTAAGTGAAAATAAAACCAACACCACATAAGTAAATAGAGACACACTGCTTTCTTTGCAACTTCTCAAGGTCAGTGGCGGCATCCCGGGATGGAGTTCCCTTGCCCGCAGTTCATGCATGGAAGGGCCATGATGAGACTCAGCAGGATGGGCAAGGTCATGGCTCCAGGACCTTTGCTGTTAGGGGCCTGCTGGGCGGGGGAAGGAGCAGGTGTCACAGTGCATCATGGTCTGCAGGCTACAGGCTGGCTGGCACTCTAGGTCTCTGTGTTTGGTTTTTTAAGATCATAGCTTGGGGTCCTGTAAATCTCTGTACATGCTGGGCCATAATTCCAGGTCCAGTGGGCTATTGGCTTTAGGAAACAATTCTGGGCTATGATTGTCCAGAATAGCTGGGTGAAAACATTGTGTAGCCCTTCTTACATGTGTGTTGGAAGGGAAGAAGCCTATATAAATTCCTAGCATGTTTTTGGCAGCTAAATGTTCTGGTCCCTTTATCTTTAATACTGGAAGACCCCCAAAGAGGAATCCTAGAAAACTCTTGGGGAAAGTCAGCCAGGTAGAGTTTCCAGGGCTTTGGAAGCCACTGCTGCCTTTTGCACCACTCGAACACCTAAAGACCTCGGTGGCTTATTGGCCATGGGATAACCCATTGAGGTGTTCCCCAGCTTGATCTCTGGCCTCCCAGAGGAACCGCAGCCAGTCATGGCAGCTCTAAATGGCCAGCTGGTAGGCCACTCAAGCTGCGTTTCCCCCCACAGGCTTCTCTTCCACATCCCCTTTACTGCTACAGACTCTCTGGAGTCTTCTTTACTGTAACCAATGCCTGTTCTTCAGTCAGAGCAGCTCTGGGTGGGTGGGCCATCATGGTACAGATGGAGGGACCTTCTGTGGTTGGACAGCCCCTTCCTGTACTCCCTGGGAGCTTACAGTTCATCCTCCATGGCATGAGGGAGAACAGAAAAGTAGTCAAAAGTGATGGTGATTTCTGTGAGAAGGGAAGTGGGCAGGCCAGTCCTGGGGCAGTCTGGGGCACTCTCAGGCTTAATACCGAGAGGGAGAACGGAACCAGAACATCATTATTTTGCAACCCTAAAGAAATAATGGAGCCAGATCTTGTGCATCGATGACTGCCAACATCACAGACAGAGAGACAAGAGACATTAATGTGCCTGTTGGTGGCAGAACTCACCACCACTTGGGACACAGTCTACCCTGAACTGGACTGATGGCTGGCATACAGGAAATATGGAGGTCAAAGGAACAGGCCGCACCACAGCACAGGATGTAATCAACAATTTCCAAACTGCAGGAAACTGTGTAGCTAATAATCCAACTTCATCAAAGAATAAATTGCAAGGAAAAAGAAAACCAGAGGGGGGATTCATAGATTAAAAGTTGGAGCAACCAATGATAATGAGTGGTATTTGGATTCTGATTTTAAAAATATTTAGGAGATTAAAAGAAAGCTGTAAAAGATGGCATTCATGAGATCACTGAAAGTTTGAACATCAATTTGATATTTAATTATATTGAAGAAATAGCATTAATCTTGGGTGCGATAATCATGTGGTGGTTATGTGAAAGGTGAGTCCTTTTAGAGGCGTATCCTGAGGTTTTTATAGATGAATTGGCATGCTCTCTGGGGCTTCACACCACATGGAGGGAAAGAAATGGATAGGGGTGTGGGCTTCTGGCTGTCAGGCTGATGATGAGCGTGGGGGGCTGTCATACCATTCCGCTGGCTTTTGTAAATATTCAAATCTTCTTAATGAAAAAGTCGCCCCACTTTCTAGACTGAAGAAGAATGTCTTGCCTTACTGATAGAGCTATGGGGGAGAGGCAGAATTTCTGTCATCTTGACTCAAAATCCATTTCCCCATAGAAATACCGACTTGCATGAAGCTTTGCCTTGAAAGTACAACCGTGCGTTACACATTTATTTGGATTTGGATAACAAGGTAATAACACTATGTCTAGTCTTATTATGAGACCTTTCTTGAAATCAGATACTGGTTAGTAATTTAACTATGCTGTCCCATTTCATGCTTACAACCTTTGTGGTAGGAGGCGTTAGGAACCCTGTTTTTAAGAGAGGAAACAGAGATTCAAAATGGCAGAATAACTGGGCCCAAGGTCTTACTGCTGGCAAGTGGCAGACTGTGAGGTGTGACCAGGCAGGGCTGAACGTGCAACTCTTGATCTCAACCACCAGACTACACTGCCTAACCTGGGGACTAACTCCCAAAGAAGGGACCCAGATGTACAGAAATCAATCCTCACCAAGGCCAGGTAAGCCTCATGCATGTTCCCTTAAGATTTCTATCTACTTGGCCAAACTGAAATTGCTTTTTGACCTTCAGACAGAATGTTTAAAGTCATCCACCCAGGAGGCAGCTGACGACTCTAAAATATGCGGGTTTTAACTGCTGCTACTCAGTTTTATATTTTTAATTGAATGTTTTAAATTTTGTGCTTGCACCCTGAAGCTATTTTATTGTGAAGCATGCAATTTTATAAATCAGATTTTATAAAACCCCATGATTAAAGCCTCTGATTGTGGACAGGGATGGCTAAAGAGTAGAGATTTCAATTTAGAACTTAGGACCAGAATTTATGCAGAAAATTCTGTGAGCACAGTAGCTGCCATTCCCTGTTTTATTTGTATCCTGCTGGTTTGAACAGCTGGAAGGCTGGGAAAGTTGAGGCATCAGCAGAAACACACCTCATTAGCTTTCACATTGGGCACAGTTTGGGAGAGAGGAGAGAAATTATTCACCGTGTTATCTTAATATCCACATGCCCTGCCAGCAACTCATGGGCTTTATGATGGCTTGGTAGAGGGGTGCAGTGGTCACAAGATGCATACTAGCAAAATTCCTCAACCTTCCTTCCCTTTGGACCAACTCTGGTGTAAGCCCTCCTTATTCTGTGAAGCCCCCAGTGAATGCACTATGGGACATGCTCTCCTCTAAATTCGGATTCAAAACCGAAGACCAGTGTTGAGTATAGAGCACTCAGTCAATTCTTCTGGAATAATTGACCGATTCACCCTTTCAAAGGGGAAGAAAAGGACTCCTGACTTTTGGGGACCTCAAACTTAGGGCCTCAACATATTACAAAAAAAAAAAAAGGTGAAATAATCAAATTTAAAACACACTGAAAGAAGATGTATGTATTATTGAGACCTTCCTATAGTGGCACTGATTCCCTAATGGTTTTGCTATTTGAGAGAAGGAGGAGCAAGATGCCTTCAAAGACTTTTCCTTAGGAGTCTAGAAACTCTGGAAGGCCTTTGGGCCAACTCTGGTTTTCATGGGAGCCCATCAATTGGTATTTTTACATGGAAGGTGAGTAGTAGTAAAAGCACCTGATTTCTTCATCAGTCATCCCATGGTAACCCCACACCAGGATACTCTAGAAATACCCTCTTCCAGTAACAAGTCCACACTGACCACTGGACAGCTCCTGAGGTGAAGGCTGGATGCCATACTGAGTGGACTGGCCACAGACTGCTTACAGCCCACAGTGGCCATCAGCTGAACCAGCTCCTACCTTTACTGTTGGTGCAATGTTTGCCGATGGCCATGCTGATTTCTCAGAAAAGGTCTCTCGGACACTAGTGGCCAGAATTATTTTTTGTCATTAACAGCAAAGACAATTTGACATGTCAAATTCCAGACTGCTACCTGATGTGTCTAACTGGCAATTTCTGACTGTGTGGTACTTTCTTGCCCCCTGAGAAGGTAGTCACAAATGCTGGGGAAAGTACGGGTTAATTTGGAATGAAAGAAACAGCTCCCATGGGGTCCAGCCGCTGCAGCACGGAATGGCTCTACATTATTTATGAGCTCCTCATCTCAATGGTACTTGGCAAAAAGATGAACCAGCAGGTTCACAGCCATGGTGCTTACTTTTTGCCTTAGAGTATGGGAAATACCAGCTAATAAAATTCTT